GGACAGACGCGCCACTTCCGCCGGCCGGAGCAGGCTGATGACGCAAGCACGCACGCTCGCTGACGCCGGCGACCGGAAGGCTGGGGCGGAAGGCAGCCGCCATGAACGCAAGAGCGGGGCCTGCCTCGAAACCGTGGGAGCGCCCGGGGGCCGGACCGGAAGGTAACGAAAGGCGCCGATGAAGTGCCAAATCGCCCGTTTCCTCCAGCGCATCAGCCTGAGCGGCGGCAGGGAGGGCCCTTAACTAACGGCCGACAGTAACGAGAAAACTAACCCACGACGAGCGAACACGTCAGCGGCAGAAAAGGAAACACCGTCACCACATGGGCCGTTCTTTAGGACCATCCTTATAATTACACATAAAAAACGAAGTTAAATTTTATTCGTATTCATTTGATTAAAGCATGATTCCAGCGATCATTTAAAACAAGTCACATAACGCCAACAGAACTCATACACGACGAAGGAGAATTTACATTAGGGCAACTCCTAAAAAAGAAAATTAGTTGAGACTATGCAGATAGAACATAACACACTCATCATTAAAGTCCTGAAGGTAACCATGACTAGAGGTCACAATGCAATCATGATAGGAAAGATCGTTATGCGCAGCTACTTTCTTACCCGTCCGTCATTTTAGCTGGGAAATAATGTCATCTTAGAAACATGTTAACTGCTGCAAGTAACACATTTGCAGGTCTGTGTTCTTCAGCAAGGACTTGTGTTATTTCAGGAATTCACATTTTAAGGAAGATGTGCTGTTTCTATGAGAACATACTTGACAAATCTAAGACAAATAATCCACATAGCTCTAGCTCACAGAGCTTGTCTTGATCCGTACACGAATATCAGGGGTGTGGCTGGGAGAAATGCCAGTGAAACAAAAGCTAAAGCATTTCAAGAGAGGACTTTCCAGAAGAAATCTGGCAGTACTACTGCCATCATACAAAGCAATGAAAAGGAAGATAGCTGGGGTATAATACTGTAATGAATCCTTAACATGGAATAAGATGGTCCTCCTTTACCCAACAGGAACAACTGCAAAGAATTACTAGTATGACCAGAGGAAGAAAAGGTCTTGAAAGTGGAGAGTAAAGAGGTTGGTTTGTTTAATCTAACAAAAATACAGGCCAGGAAGACTGCATAGAAAAGTATGCAAGATCAACACTGTGAAAACAACCCCGCAGTAAAACAGTATTACCATACTGCCGCAGAACAGGTGGGGGCTAAACCAGTCACTAGTAAGCTTAGACATGTGTTAGAAATTACAAGTTCCAAAATCCTCCCAGCTGTTTGGTTCACAAAAAGTTTTCCAGCAATAGGAAAGGTAAAAGCCTGCTAGCTTTTAAAATGAAGTTCAAACAGTTGATGAAGGAGTCTACATGAGAACAGAGCAAGGCAACCAGAAAGCCACTTGTATTTCTGTCTTCCAACAAGAGTAGAAATATGATGGAAACCCGACTTTTCCTTCTGCCAAATACACCGAGATTTTTGAAAGCGTAACAAAATTAAAAAAAAAAACCAAAAACAAACCACAAAAAACCTCCCTGCAGAGCCTCACCCACAGTCCACAGCTTTTGTAAAAGTGATAGGAGTACAAAGAAACAAAAACACACAGACATCACATATGCAATGAAAAAACCTGACATTTCCCTCAGGCTCAACTCTTCAAGGAATATGCCCCAGGAAACCAGTCATGTATAGGAATGTAATCTGAAGTATGTGTAAGACAAAACAAGCACACACTATTTAAACAGAAGACTTCTTCAGAGAGACTGTCTTGGGAACACATTTTTGCTGTCTGCAGGAATAGTTTGCTAAAGCTAACCGAATACCTCACATCGTGGAAATGTAAGCATTAGCTTAAATTTTGCAGGAATACCACTGGTAACTTCCTATTGGAAACTGTTTTTACCATAATGACCACTTAATCCATGCTTCTAATGCCATGCTACAATCTTTCAGAAGAGTGGCAATTATTAAAAATCATCTCCTTTTAATTGTTAATTTAATTTTGTTACCAAAAAGTCAATTCGAATGTTTTTATAGCTACATGTGCTTTTTTGCCAAAACTAAATACCTAAGATTTTTTTTTTTAATTTTTGAAAGTTAACTTTTAATAATCTTTGATCTACCACAAAGAAGAACTTCTTTAAAGAAGAAAACTTCTTAAAAGCAGCAGAAATAAAGAACAGCCTCAGTTTATGGTTAATATTCCTCCCTTTAGTGACCTCGCTTTCATCTGTCACAGATACCTCCAAGATTCTTTACATAATCAGAAATGATAGAAATACTTTGCACATAGGTCAGAATTATAACCCTGAGTTTCTAAAAGGCAGTATTTTGTTGCACTCCTAGAAGTAATACCAAAAAATCGATTTATTCCCTCATAACAGATAGATATAATAAAATGCAAGAAACTAAAATATTAAAATGGTTTCTTATAGAAATACAGAGATCCTGCTTCCTTTATCACCAACATTTTTCAGTGTTTTTTACCTCTAAGCAACTGCAATATTTAATTCAACACTCCATTTATACATGTATGTATATGCGTGTATACTTGCATTTCAGTATAGTGAATACACAACCAGGATGCAATATTTCCATGTTAAATTTTAGTAGAAAAACCACTTTTCATTCCTTGCTTTGTAGTCAGAAATAGCTGCTCATCACTGCTTTGGGGCAGGGACTCATTTCCATAGTTTACTTCAACTAAATGTATACCAAAATAAGTCATTTGTTGGCAGAGGAGGGTGGTCCTTCTTCCAGCTCTACAATGCACACAAATAATGGAAGATGCAAGCAGCATAGAGCAACAACTGGGAATTTCAGTCATATGCCAATTTCACTCCACTGCAAGCAAGCAGAATACAGTGATGGGTCCATGTTTTCACACTGTTTTGATGGGCAGGGAGAAAGGAATCATTTTCCCACAAAACACTGAAGTTCTTTCTCAAATATAGGCTTTTATGTTACTTGCAGTCAAGGAAAGACAATAAAGCCCACATTTACCACATTATGTGTCACTAGGACCTCTGTTTGGTATATCAGTTTCTCAGTAAATAAAGGCTTACTGGATTTTTCCCATTGTCTTTTCTCTGCTTCAAGTCCCAGGCTTGACCTGCCATGAGCTCAAAGGAACCAAATCAGCATCAACAGTTGAAGAAACAATCACTCTCAGGAAGAATTCCTTTGAGTTACACTAGGTTGGAAGAATAAATGGCCATATTAATCATACGGTTCCAAATCCTTGGAAATTAGTGGCTCAGTATCTTCAGTTGTACTTTGTGCGGATTGCGGGGCTGCAACTGCCAGGCTGTGTATAGTCTCTTGCTGATGCTGCTTTGCCTTATTATATAGCAGAACTCCAATTGTCACTAGAACAGTCCCAATGGCCGAGAGGCTTGTGATTTTGTTACCAAACACAATAATACTTAGCCAGATTGACAGCGCATGCTTCACAGTACTAGCAACACTGGAAAGGAATATAAAAATTAAGGCCAAAGAAAGCTTTCTCATATCCCACACACAACCATGCTTTAATGTAGCAGGACCCCTCTTTGGTTTTGCTTGATTTTTAAACACCAGTTCAGATTCCACTTTTCCTCCTGAAGCTAATAATACCAAATTTCTTGTATATCGGTATTCTTATCTATACTTATCTTAATTTTAGAGCTAGTACAAGGAATTCACCTCAGGTTTTTGTTTTCGTTGCTTTTAAGCATGCAGTACAGTGTTTGCAATTCATTTCTAGCTAACACAGACCCCCAGAAAATGCTAACTGAACACTAAAAACATAACTATCATTTGCGAGTGTGCTGCTACTATTCAGGTAATACAGCTTTATAACCTGCAAAGAACCATTATCTACATCATACCAATAACATTATAATAAGTAGTTAAGAAGTTTTGTATACATGTAAATATGAATATATGCTTTTACATGCTGTTATGTAGAGAAGACTAACCAACTTCAGAGTAAGAATGTGTGTAACAGTGAATTGTCACAAGACTGTAGCAGGGGCACCTCAAAGTGTAAGACAGCAGAAGCCTTCAGAGTTTAGAACCAGCATTACCCCACAAGCCCTACTGCTATTCATACAAATGACCGATTATTGAATCAGAATTGTGTCACAGCCTAACAAAGCTGCCGATAACCGACGATGTAGGTGGAAGTTGTCTTTAGAGAACGTGTGTAATTCAAGCACAGCTTGACATGCTGGTGTCATGCTTCAGAAAAAAAAGAACACAGAGCTGACTGCTTATACTCTGTACTGCACATAGGTATTGCCTCATCACTGAAGCAAATGGCAGCTTAAATGTAGCAGATCTATGGTGTCAGTGAATCTGTTCAGTCTCCTTAACCACCTTTAAGGAATGGCTGTTAAACCTAAATAAAATATCCCTGCTAGTAAATGTGAGCACCTGTTCTGTAAGCTCAACAGCATGGGTCAAATGCTGCTCTCCTCACACAGTAAGGGAGCAAACCACAAACTTTTGGTGATCTGGATATGAAAACTTTTCCTAATTAGATGCATTTGTGCATTTACATTATTTATTTCTTTGCACAATACCTTTACTGCCAATTTCTCAAGAAGAAATACTGAGCAAGAAATAAAGAAAATAAAATAGTGTTCGTGTTGTCACGTTGACGTGAAAATACAGTTTTACCTGAAAGTCACAGGAGAAATTTTTCCCATCAAGGCATAGGCTGTAACACTTTGTAGGTGGAACAAAACTCCATCTATTAAGAGAAGTGCAACAACATCTTGGTTGTAGCTGAAGCTCCTCCCACTTTTCCCAATCACAGGCACATCCTAAACAACAAGAGAGGAAACTTTAAGAGTTTAGTTTACAAGCAAATCTAAAAGTGATTTTCCACCCAACTCATTATCATTATAAGCAGATACAGTTTTACATTTAAACGTCATCAAAACAAAACTTAAAACATAGAAGACATTTAGATCCTACAAATTTCCCCCACAAAATAAAATATTAGAAAAACAGCTCTTATCTGACTGAACTTTCCAGTGTGTTCAGCCTGCCTGTTGAGATATTTTCTTTTTTGAACACTAATGCATGGCAATGAAATGACAGAATAGGAAGGACACATATTTAACCTGATACATTATACTTACTTCAGCTCAGTTTCGCTTTCAGAGAGTTAATATTCCCGTATACTATGTGAATACTGGCAAAAAGTCAACAAATATTTAAGATTTTGTTTTGAAGTCTTTATCTAAAACTTTAAATGCACTTAGACAAAATTACGATTTGATCTCAAAAATCCTGAAATAAACTTAGGCATTCTAGGTCACCTGTCAACTCGTGTCTATATTAAATTATTCCTTTTAAAATTTTCTCTTTTTCACCCTCCCTCCCCATCTCTTGCAAACATAAGATGAAACGCATTTCAGAGTGATTTTTTGAAAAAATTACAAGAACGAAAAGTAAAAATTAAGATTAATCTTAGTTGCACATTCTGCTCACAAATCAAAAACAAAACATAAACCAGTATTAGTGAATTCAAATTACCATGAAAAATATCCAAGCTGGAATAAGCATAACCACTGCAGCAGCACTTGTGTAGAACTGAAGCTCTGGAGCTCTACAAAGGAGAAAAATAAAAATTTATTAAAATGGTTAAAAGCTTCCTCTTTCTTAGAGCTGAAGAAAGCTGCATCATTATTGGCTTTTACTACTTTTTGGTATCTGTAAATACCTCTACCAAGGTGTGGGGACAAGAAGTTCAGCAATCTCTTGGGAAAGACAGTGTTTTGCCTTTAGTGTTGGCTGAGATGGACTGAAGATAAACGGCATATGTTTTCAAGACCAAAACTAGCATTTCATCTTGTGGTAAAATACATACATATAGGTATAGGTATATTTTATCGTAAGACTTTACTCCTGGCTCACATTTCGTAGTTAAAACATAGAGCAAGTTCTGAAGTTCATTTCTGCGTGCCTAATAATGTTACGGGATGTTTTGTGATTGCAGAATAAGTACTTATTTCTGTGAAAAGATGACTCATTTTGGGTATACTGAGAGTTTTAGCTGATTTTGAGACCGCAACTTTCTGCAGTGCGATATGAGCATAGATTTTTCTTTCCCCAACAAAATGACTTATGTTACAGCTGTCTGTAAACAGTCTAAGGAAAAAAAAAAATCTTGGTGCAATATAATCATAAATATATGGTTTTCTTATACAGCCCAAAGTCCATCTATAAACAAACCTGAAATATTTTTAATACTTACGAAAACCTGTATTTATCTCCACTGAGTAGTTTTTTGGAAAAGACATTTTGCAAACTGGAAAAAAACCAACACATCATTTATCAGTATTTTAGTTATGACAAATCAATCAATCCGTAAGACAGAGAGTTGTTTCCCTTAGATAGGTAGATATGTTTTCTACACATTTCACATTCTACACATATGCAACTAGAGAAAGGAGTTTGGCCTAACTCTCTTAGATTAATAGCATTGTACTATTTTTAAATCCCCTGGATGTTAGCAGATACAATAAAGAAACTGTATCTTCTGTTAAAAATAAATTTTAAATACCAACATTTAAATGTAGCATACAAAAAACAACTACAGGCAACAATCTAACAATAAACAAAATTCCTTTATTCCACATATGCAACTATCATTATGCCTTACCAGTCCATGATATTAGTAGATAAAGCTGCCGAGAAACCTAGAATGTTGAAACTGATTTCGGTAGCTGTACATAGAGCTAGCCCACCCATAACAGGAATGAGAGAGAGATTAACCAGCAATCCTGCAAATTAAAAGAAAAATTGGCATCTGAGTTTAATTACTGTACTTCCAATTACATGTACCAGATAATATAGTTTTTGAAAGTTTAAATTCCACCTTAACTTCTTTAGTTGAAAGAAGGAGCAACTTACTTGACTGAATTTTAAAGTACAGAGGTTCCAAAGTAGAGATCTTGGACAATAGCAGAATGCTCTTGAAAACAATATGGACAAATACTCACTGATAAAAGTATCTCCCTTGGAGAAAGAAAATGGACTGATGACTCTCTTCATTTCATCTTTTTCACCAAATGACAGAAGAATACTTCCCCTGTTTGTTCTGTGATTGAATTACTGTTCTTCCTCTGGCTTATTTCACCCTTTTGCTATTTTGCACCACAAAGCAATCTATACAGAGCTTCTGTATTACTCCTATGACTTACAGCTGGTAACAAGCAAAATCTCTTCAAGCAACTAGCATGCTTGCAAGTAGAATAGCAAAGAAATTGTATTGTGATAAGCCAGTTGTTTGTTCATTTGGTTTTTTTAATCACAGAGTGAACACAGTGAATAAATTCAAGAATTTTAAATTCCGAGCAGCAAGCTGTCCTTAGAAGAAGGAACACACTGAACTTCAGTTATTTAAGGTTGCAATATTTTCTTGACAGAAAAATAACTTCAGAGCAACAATGCCCTTACACAGCTGCATTAGAATAAATCCTTTTTTACTTGTATATACTCTACTTACTGTGTTCAAACAGAATGATTCTTCCAGCTGCATTTACTATACTTCAGAGGAATTTCCCTGTCCATGGTCAACTAAGTGACAGTATTATTAAAAAAAAAAATCAGAAAAAAAAAATCACATTTCAACAGTGAAGGACTTACCAGTGTATTCCCCTAATATCATCCGAGACATGATAACAGTAAAAATAGGTGCAGAGCTTTTAACAGTTTCTGCAAATGAAACTGCCACATTTTTCAAGCTGACAAGACCCAAGACTACTGTTGCAAATCTGTAGTAAAAGAACACATGAAATTAAGCATAAAATAAAATAATGCTTAAAGAGCTACTCTTAGACATCTAGCATAAAAAAAGAATCGCATCATAATTTCTTTAGGTTTATAAATTTGTGCTGCAGTAACTAAGAATACGGCCAGGTGTAGCTGGCAATCAAGTTACCAAATCATAGTAGCTTGACTGAACTGCAGTAACAGATCAGCTGCACACCTTTACTCCTTAGTATTTGTGACGTGGAACGTATCAGATCTATTTCTTTCTGCTTTGGCTTAAACATTATTATTTATTTAGCACACATGAAGGCACCCTTGGGCAATTCTGCAATTTCTGTGGATGTGCAGTGGACTTCCAGGAAACACCAAACTTTACTTTTTAATGCACTCTAACCAAACTTAAGATGACAGCGTTTTAAGCTAAGGTTTTCAATAGGCTCAGTCAAAAAAGTTAGTAAAATTCTGCTGATAAACAGTAATTCACCAAGGAAATGGTATCATTTGCAGTTATCTTTAATTTAAATTAGGTATACTACATTTTTACCATGGTTTAAACCACTAAACAACAGGACAGCACAGTTGTTACGATAAAGCTACTCTGAATTAATTTGAATCCTGTTATCCTTTATCACTTCTGCAGTGTAGAGGAAACCAAATCATATCTTCTTATTCTCTCCTAGACCATAAACTGGTACTATCCCAGCACACAGCAAATATTTACTTTTTAAAAGATAAACATTAATAGCCAGTATCACTTTGGGGCAAATTGCTGGAAAAGGTGAGGGAACAAAGCAACATCGTAATAAATACTAGTCCACTGAATGAACATCAGCCTCAAAAGAGAACAGGAAGAAAGTATATGGAAAGAGAAGTATGTTCTGGAAGAAGCTAAATGCGATGGGAAGCCAAGCTAGCCAAAAAACTGACGTCTGGAAAAATGAACGTTTAGCTATAGGAACAGAAAATAAAATTATCCTGCCATTTGGAAGGGGGAAGGTGAATACTTGAATACTCCAAACACTTTCCAATCAAGAATTAAAAGGAAGAGAGCCATGAAAATACAGCTTCTGTTCAGAAGAACGCAACAAAGCAACCAGATAGATCTCTAGGAAAGAGTTGATCATTTACCTCATTAATCCAACAAATAGCATTATCATGATGAAATTGGGTGGATAAGAGATGCGTGTTTTGTGCTGATACAAGCAGCATGGAACAAACATTTTTATGCAGCCAATGAAGGTGGTTGAAAGCATTTGAACAGCACCTAAAGAAACATGAGAGGAAAAAAATAAAATCAGAATATGATGGGAACATGATGAATCAAACAACATAAGACAATTTCTTACACAAACTTACGTGTAGTACTTTAAGCAGTTAAAAACCATGGCAATTACTATCTAGATTTTATGACTTCTCAGAAGCCCTTTACTTCTACATCTACCAGCAAGGCAGCGGAAAAAAACAAAGGTGGCATACACCTATAAAATCCAGTTCACAGATAAAATGCCCTTTGTTTCCCCCTTAAAAAAAAATTAATAAGGCCATTGGATAATAAAGATCACAGAAAGGTAACTTTTGCGCTTCTACAGACAAGTAAGTTCAGATTAACAGCTCTGGAGACTATCAACAACTGACTCAAAATTTTCCTTTTTTTAAAAACCCACACTACCCTCCAACACAGAAAACAAAAAAATATGTTTTCTTCTTTCCAGCTCTTAATTCTCAAACACCATCTTACAGCTCCTCTGTGAGCAAGTTTCATACCGTCTTTCAGTGAGTGGAGGAAAGGACGGTGTCAGAAGGCCCTTTACAGGCCAAGATCACAACTCCTGAGTTCCCAGCCCCAAGATCCACCCCCACATCTTCTCCTAACTAGGTCTTTTTCATGTCAGTTGAACCATTCTGTCCCTTAAAGGACAAAGGAGGATATGGTGTTACTGGAATGAAAGTGTAAAAGAAAGGCAGGGTTACCTAGCATGCTGGGCTCTCCTTCCAGTAACGAAAGAATGTATTTGTTAAGAAAAAGAGTGCAAAAGCTGAAGAAAAACCACAAAGTGAGGTAGATGAGAGCATGAGAATTCCAGATGCCCAAGTCCGACTCAATGACCGTAGTCTCCGTGATAGTTATTTTCAGAACGTTCTCCTCTGGTACACTATCACTCCTAGCAATTACGAATTTTTCACTCCTGTTAGCAAAGAGTGAGCCCAAATGAAATAGTGATTTTCCCTTTGGCTTTTCTTCAACGGGGGGAGGATTAGGTTCCTCCAGTGTCTGAGCACTTGTCACAGTCGACATGCTGACATTAAGAAATTAGTATTTGTCCTTAATACAAACCAACATTGACTTAGCACAGAACAGCACTTTGACGGAACAAAAATATCATGTGATTAGTCTTTCATCTCCCATGGCCTGAAAAAGTGTACTTGGTCCTCCAAATAACATCTTGCATAAAAATAAACTTCACATCCTTCTTCATGTGGTCCGTTCCGTTTTTTCTACCTGAGAATGAAAAAACAAGAAGGAAAAACATGTAGCTCTGAACACGACGACATTTTAAATCCCTAATGCAGCAAAGATATCGCATTTCACCTGCGGTTTATGAAAGGTAAAAGGACTTAGTTTGTCTTTCAGACTGGATTTTGCACTCCTAATACCATGATACCATGATTAAGAACTTAGATAAGGGAGGTGTTTTATTCTAAAATAGCACGCACAAACACACAATTACATGTTTTTAAGTTCTTTCTCCTCTAAGGCATGTCAACACAGCTTTTTCCATTATAAAACTCCTCTTCAAGATTCTACAGTTTCTCTGATCTCAGCCTAAACTACTCAACAGAAAAGATCTTTACAACCCAGAAAATCTGGGCAAGAGTTTTTACCCTTAGTACTAATTAACCTGTTATCATCTCAAGTCAAAGTAATCAATAATCAAGGACTATAACTTCCAGTCATCATAAACCATTTGTTCACCTAGATGTCATAGCTACCAACATAACTACGTAGGAAAATATGCCCAAGAGCTTTCCAAACAGACTTGTTCTCTATCTAATTACTTGTAAATAATGCAATATTACTTATTTTACCACTGCAGTACTGTTATAACTTGCAATTCAATATTAGTACTTGCAGTAATTCTTAAAGCCTTTTTAAAAGATCGGACAGAAAAAGGCATTAAGTCATTTGCAACTAGAGCGTTCTCCTTTTACACAAATTACATGAAATGTGGCAAGTTACAGTAGAAGAGTACAGAGAATAACCAAAACACATTGTGATCTTTATTCTTCTCAAGTCATGTAATGTTAATTAGCATCACAATGCTAACAGGTTCAAAGTCTGGATTAAGAAAGAGAGAAATTGCACCTGAGCAGCTTATCTGCAACATTAAATCACACTATTGGATTTACTGCTTTCTACTTTGCAGTCTGTGTTTTATGAGGAAAAAAAATAGGATGAATCAGATGAGAATGAAATGATGGACAGGACCTCTTTTGCTCCTTAACGAGCAAGCACTAGGGGAAATGGAATTTGAAATACTTTTCACGAGAAGCCCATTTGCTGGACAGACAAGATGGTGGATCTTATACAGTTAAAAAGTAATTATTGTGTGGGAAGTTAATCGCTGGACATCTTGGAAAAGCTGGCTGACATGAAGTCACAGTACTATAGGTCAAACAATGGTAGCACAAGAAATAATCAATATAAAGTGAAAATACAAAGAGTTGTAACAAGAGCTACTGCACCTGCCCTGATTTTGTTAGTATGTGAACGGGATACACTATTTTCTTCATGGTTTTTGAACATCCAATGTGGCAGCTCAAAATAAATCATGAGGAGGTACTAAAGAGTTAAATTATCCTAAACAGCAGCTACTTTGCAGTGAAATTTTCCATTCCTCATGTTCTCTATTACTGTTGTCAGAGCCAAGCCAAGCACGGGAGGTTTCCATCCCTGGCCCCTTATCTCTTTCCATTTCACCAGGAAATCATGCTAGCAGCACACCAGAGTACAAGACCCTCTGACAGACCTTAAACCATGTGTTAACCCAATTTAAGACAAAACTAGCCACTCTGAAGGAAGACAGGCATTCTTTAAGAGAATTTGTTAAGAAAAACAGATCCTTGAAGACTGCTCCTTTTTCAGGTCTTAACTAACCATTTTGAATGTAGAAGGGTATTTTTTTATCACGATCGCGTTAATACTTTTTCTGTTTATACTACTCAATTAAAAACAAAAGCAATTAAGCACAACAAAACTCCCACCCTCAGCAGCACTGTGGTATCATATTTGCTATCACCAATTCCACACATGGCACGAAGCAGAAAAGCAAATAAGAACAAGACTACTCCCCTAAAATTACTGACCTGCTGTCTTAAATCACCTGGAAAGTCTTAAATGGGCTGAACACGTCCTCCATCTGGAACTAATTCTGTCTTCCTCCCTTAAGACCAACCAGCAGCTGATGTTTACCAATAGATGAAAACGTGGCAGTGGTTGGTAGACTGTTTCTCTTGGATTACACACAAACTTTCAATCTCCCAGCTCACAAGAACAAACAGCATGCAGTGCATTCTACCCTCTTTCTTGTATCTTCTCCAACTTTTAACTACATTAGCAATAAAAAAGTTGTATTGAAAGTGGAAAAAATATGCTTTGAAGGTCTCAAGCAAATTCTAACTTACAAGAAGTAGCTAATTACCAATCCACCCCCCCCCAATTTCTTAGGCTTTAAGACATCATATTCATGAGACTACCTGCATTCAAACTCCTTTTCCCTTTCTATTCACAACAGTTCACAATTTAATCAGAAATGCATCCGCTTCAAACTTAAAACAAACGCTGAGAAAACACTTTCTCAGAAGACCTAAGAGCGAAGGAAATAAATGAAGACATTACCTGCTTGTGCTTTTAAGCATCTAGTTTTAAGTAAAAATACCACTCTCCCCTCAGTTTTAATAGTCATACTTGTTTCAATTACTAAATTGCTTATGCTATATTCTGTTGTGTACAAGTGGCCTTCCATGGGAATAAACATAATTTTGCTGCCAGGCAGCTTGCATGAATATATAGAAGTGACAGCTGTCTGTGTGATGCTTTTGTGAAAATGGTGTCACGGCTTAAAAAACATTTTTAATTAGCACCAGCTCACACCTTCTGAAATAAATAGCACCCCCTTGCTCACTCCAACTACAACAGATATTTTTGTGGACATACAATAGATCAAACCAGGGAAACTGCTCCCCCCCGAAACTGAAGGCTGCAAGGAAAAGGTCACTCTCAATCCACACCAGGAGTAGTGCACATCATTCACTTTTAAGTGGATTAATTCACATTATTAATGTGAATTAAGATTAATTCACACCAGTACAGTTTAACCTCACCACTGTAAAAGCAGTATGTCTACACAGACTGTTTTCTACAGGTCTCAGAAGAAAAGAAACACCAAGTTTTGCAAAAAATAAATGGCGCAAGCAACAGAAATTAACAAGACGACACACATCACATTTTTGCATTAGTTTTTTCACAAGAAATGTTTTCCAAAGAAACTGTCCACATTCCACCCTGAAGTCAAGTGAATAAAAGAGAGAGAGAAAAACACAACAGGAAATTAACCTCATGTAAAGCGTTACAGTGCAACTTTCTAACACATTTAAAAGCGAGCAAAATCAGTTTTCCTCTTCTGGTAAAGGGGAGGTCCGCGTCACATCCCCCTTCCTCCAAAACTGCAGAGGTGTGAGGGGTGAAGCAGCTGGTGAAAATCCAGTCACTCAGCAGCTAACAGGGCCCCGACACATTCCCCACACCTGGCCTTCACTGAGGTTTTCTGTAATAGAGCTACAGATTAAATAAAGGCAGCCAGCTGGGCTGTCTTCACCCCACTCTAACACCACCTAGTCATTATCTTTAAAAGGAAGCATAAAGAAAATCAAGTGTTCATTCAGAGCCATATTTGATAAAAAAACAAAAGGCGAGAGATAAAATGAACTCTGATATTAATTTTTTTCAATGAGATTATCACTGACACACGTCAAAAATTCTCATAATAGCATTCATTTCTTTTTAATGAAAAACTTTTTCATGAGAAACTGCAATTTTAAACCTACTGTTTAAGAAATTGTCAAAAATAAAAAAGCCAACAATATAGCCAGAGTTCAATATAACCAGAGTCCTTCCTTAGAACTGAAAGAATAAAATTATTTAAAGATGACACATACAGCACAAGAGACAAAGCAGTCACATGAAAAAGGATATATAGGGTCTTCTAAAAATTACATATCTTATACCAAGACACAATTTATCTTGAAAATAAAGCATAGCATTTCCAGCACTATAGATTCTGTGTTTTTTAACTGTCTATTGCAACGCTGGTTATGCAAAGAGTCCTTCATGATTCTTTCGTGGAGCATACTAAAAATTTCTTACGATTGAAATATATTCATTTGCAAGCATCTATCAGGTACTCCAACAAATTTAAAATAAAATTCTTTTGTGATGCAGCTCACCCCAAAACCGATACCCTTTGGTTGGAAGCTCTAATTATTTGTTAAGCCGCTAAGCTGATTCTGACAATCACCACTACATATACGACACCAAGAGTTTCTTACTGCATTCATTTGTCCAAGACTGGAAGTGCTCTGGACTTTGCAATGACCACCATCTAACAGCGTAAGACAAAAAGCCATTGCTACAGTTTTTCTGACCATTTGGGTTGACGGTTGGACTTGATCTTAGAGGTCTTTTCCAACCTTAATGATGATGATGATTCTATGACTCTACCTAAAGACAGATACTTTCTTTTGACAATATCCACAAAGAACTCTAAAAAGTCCCCTTTACACCTCACACAAAAAAACAGAAGCTCAAAAATGTTGCAAGTGTTAGAGAAACTAAGGCTAATCTGATAGTGAAAACACAGAGGCTTGGTGAACGTACCTCTTAATCTACTATGCAACACAGGTCACCCAAACATTGCTTCCAAAGAAGGAACACACAGAATTCAGCATCCCAAGTAAGCAGTAAATATTACTGCTGTTCCACTAAACGACAATGACAGCATCCAAGGTGCTTATAAACACGGACCGTAAATACAACAGCAAAGCTGTTAACATCTCCCATACAGCGAAGATGATGCTAAGACAGAAATAGCTTAGCCCGTGCTTGCACTTCAGCTGTACTTCGAGCCACCCAGGCCTAAAGTCTCCCCTCCTCTCGCTCAGAACCGGCTATCACGCAGGCAGATCCAGCACGTGTTTTCGCACGCCCCGCGGCACCTCGGAGCTGACCGAGCCTCCCCCACAGCGGAGAAGCGGCAGGAGCGCTGCGCATTCGGACCTGCCTTCCCCATCGCGATTCAGCCCTTCAGGGGAGCAGTGCTGGACCACGTCCTTTTTGACCCGGCTTTCCGGCTCAAGGACTTCTCAGAGAGCACCAGCTCCGCAGCCAGGCGCAGCACAGCCATCTCCCTCCTCGGGGCATGCCGCAGCTGAGCCAGCACCTACGCGCTAAGCGCTGTCGAACAGCGGGCCGGAGGTCGTCCTCTGCATCAGCGCCAGCAGAGCCCAGCCGCCGACC